CTGTAATTGGTGTACAATGGCCATTTCTTAAAGATTTTTCCGGCTCTTTATTGTGGCTCTAAATGTGGTGCTTTAGGTTGTGTTCGCATATAAATAAATTCAATTCACTCTTAATTCGTACTCAAAATCTAACTCAATTTTAAGTTTTAACTCAACCGCACTATTCTTTATATTATAAATAGAATTAAACAATATCAACAAATCATTCTTATACATCACATCAACTTTAGTTCACTATTCGTCTACTCACATAATTTTAACTAACCATCACTTCATATAATATATCTCATACTTTTATATCAAATAAAATCCCACGTACAACTAACCATACCACTTTTTTCAAAATTAATCCTGGTTAAAAAACAAACAAACTAGTTTTAAGCGGATATATTTGTATACAAACAAGCCCTTAGTGTGTGAATTTTGTTGACATTGCTAGTAACAATTTATATAGTTGTTGCTTTCTCGTAATTTGGTTGTGCTCATTGTATCTATCACACCATCTGCTTGATTATTTTCCGCTTTGTTTAAATATTCTTAACTGTTATGAATTGCTGGTACGTGTAGTTTTCGAGCCATACAAGGACAACAAAGTTGATTTATTGGCACCTAAATTAGTATTTATCGCCCTTAATTTGGTTGGCTTAGGGCTTGGCATCTGGAAGGTTTGTTTGTTCTCTGAAGTCTGCTAAATTCTTTGCAGATAATTGCGCACGTATACCAATTTTTCTTCTTTTATTTATGTATTATTGTGTCCAGCTTAACGCACTGGGTCTTCTTCCAACTCATGTATCAGACTGGGTTTCATCCTTGCCTCCCCCACAGGTTTTGATGGTCTTATTTAAGTATTATTGTCGAATTTCATTTAATCGATACATGAATTATACGGTCTTCAATAATTACGCAATGTGATTAATTTTAGGCAAAACTGCATTTTTAGTCATGGTTTAATGTCATAACAATTTTGTCAAAATTGCATTTTTTGTCCTATTGGTTTAACGGCATAGCATCTATATAAATATACAAAGGTTTGGCATTTACTTGAAATAGAAGGAGAAATCCCGCCTAAATTTTTAAAGTTACTAATATTGGTAATTTTTTTTAAAATCCCGCCAATAAAGCTTATATTTTGAATTTCTTTTTTTTATATTTATTCTAAGGTAATTTTAATTTATTATAGAAAATATTTGTCTACTAATATATCACCATTTCCATTACAATTAAAATCTGCAACATTCCATATTAAAAATTAATTAGTACAGTCAATGAATTTGAGAATAGAATAAATCAAATAAGGTATGTGAATATTTTTTCAAAATAATACAAATAGGTAAGTTATTTGATTGAACGATAAATTTATTTCTTTTGCCTTCAATCAAGTACCATGTTATTTTATGCATGTTTCGTTTTTAACATAAATTTTTAATTTACATATTTTGTTTCCTAAGCATCATATAACATAAAAATGAAAAAGAAATTAGAAAAATCCGGGTCATAATATTTTGAGTTTAATATGATTATAATTTAATAAGATCATCTCTCAGCTAAGTGATAATTTAAAATATAATTAGTTTGTTTTTCGATTCATTTCCAAATAATGCTTTAGTTAGTGAATCTTATCTTTCTTTTTTGAAATTTTGATTAGTGAAGATATTTAAATTATAAATTCAAATATTTCAAAAAATCAAAGCATGCCAAAAATTTATTTATTTTTTTAAAAAAAATTGCTTTAAGGATATGTATTAAATTTTATCTTGATTCTTTTTAATATAGACTTAGTTAATTGTTTGTATCTTTATTTTTTTTTTTTTAAATTTGATTAACTATTATGTTTAAATTGTAAATCATTTTTTTTTTTCAAAAATCAAGGTCTTCCTTATGAAAAAAAAAAAAATTATATTTTTTTAAAAATATATTGCCTTCCAATGAATATTTAACAAAAAGATTTTAAAATGGATAAGCTTATGTATTAATATCGGTACCCATGGAAAAAAAATAATTGAGCTCATTTATTTTTTTAATACTAAAATAAAGAGGTACAACAATGTTCTCTCTTTAGTTTGATTGATAATATCAAATCATTCTAAATTTTAATAATGTACATGAATAATATTTCAAAATTTTGGATAATAACATTCTAACTTTCCAATCATCTAATATCCACTTGAGACTTTTTTCTTTCACCTATTAAATCAAGAATAATGCTCACCTATCCACGATGGACACGTGTTAATATGTCCACCGCTTATGTGGCATGCACACATTGGTAATATATTTTTTTGAACATATTCGCATCACCAATGTGTGAGCATTACTCATTAAATCAATGTACAGTTTGCCAATAAAAACAACATACACACTGAGTTGTTATTCCATCACTACTCATCGAAAATCAAGAAAAGCATAAAGAAAAAATAAATATTCTGTAGTGATGAAAAATTCATGAGGAGTCATGAAGAAATAGTTAAAAACACAATCAAATAATATTTTTTGTTATTGGAAGGTATAAGCTTTATTTTGTATGGGTATGAAAGTCGAATTTTAGACTGATTTGTTATAAAATCAAGGTGATATGATTCTCAGATTTCAAGATATTATTATAATAACTTGTCATAAGATATTGATGATAATTTGACAAATTGATATGTATTCATCTTGAAAATCAGAAACATCTTTGAACAAATACTGATTAATAAAATTTAAAACTTAACAACAACAAATCTATAAAATTGTGATTATATATATATATATATATATATATATATATATATATATATATATCAGGGAATTTATTGTGTAGTATAAATTCGAGTTTCAAATTTAAGAGTCAAATAAGTAATTATTCATAACTTACGAGTCAATATTAACTTAGATGTAAATGAAATAGTCAATTATTTATAGTTTAATAAATTGCGCAACTACTTAACTTTTTTGTTTTTGAGAGTTTATACAATAACATATTTATTTTGATTAATGAACAATATAAGTTTTATAGTTATACTAATTATTCACATAGATTTTTAAATATATGATAAAATTTTACTAAAATAATTATTTTATAGAATCACATTGTAGTCAAATCAAATTTATTTATAAAAATGTTAAAATGACACTTATTTTGAAATGAATATAATGTAATTTATTATCAGTTATGCGCACCATACGGGTTGTGTATTATTTTTAAATTGACATGCTTTAAAATGACACTTATTCTGAGATTAATAATATAATTTATTATCAGTTATGTGTACCATACGAGTTGTGTACTAATTTTAAATAGACACGTTTTTTATGTAATTTTGCACGATATAAAATTCGTATAACATTTTCAATTAATTAATATATGTAAATTATATTGCATATTGGTTTCATATTTTTAATGTATAAATATTATTTAATGAGCATTTTTAATAAATATAATGAATATCTCTTACCCGTGCATCGCACGGGATTCGTCTAGTTTTTAGTTCCAAGATTTAAACTTTTTGTCTTTTGATCCTGTAATTTAGTATTTTACTTCAATTTCAGTCTTTTGGGACTGAAATTACAACAAAATTTAAAATTAGAGGACTTAAATTGCTAATAAAAAATTTATCTCAAAGATTTTTTATTAGCAATTTAAGTCCTGTAAATTTAAATTTTGTTGCAATTTCAGTTCTAAAGGACTTAAATTGCATTGAATTTTAATATTAAAGGACCAAATAGCAAAATGTTCAATTCTTTGGGACTGAAAACGCCACTGCATCAAACCAAAGGGACTAAAATTATAATTTTGCCTAACAATTTTAGTTACAAGATTCTAACTTTTTGCCTTTTTGGTCCTGTGATTTAATATTTTGTTGCGGCAACACAATTTTAAATCCCAAGATTGAAATTACAACAAAATTTTGAATTACAGGACTTCAATTGCTAATCGAAAATCTGGGAATTTGGGAATTTGAGAATTTGTTGCAATTTCAGTCCTTTGAGAAGACTGAAATTGCCGCAAAACAGCCGTTAGTGTTTTTCGGCAATCCAACACAAAACAACCGACAATTCATGCCAAAATTTTCCTATATTGGTAGTGTTTTTATACAACTTTAAAAAAAGTCGTTAATTTTTTCCAGGATGTGGAGTTTTCTGGTGGAGGTATTCCGCTTTATTAGCTTTCCACTCCAGCCGAAGGTTTAATTCGGTGGGGGCTCGTTAGACAATCGGAGCCCTTTCGAGCAGATAAATGCCACCATTGTTAATCATTGGTGACTGCAGTAATATTATGAAATTTTCGATGTTGGCAAAAAGTAAATGTGCTTTTTGAAGTCTGTGTTTGTTGTTAAGGTTTGAGTTCTTGTTTTTATGATTATGTTACTGCAGTGAATTTTCACTGAGTTTTTTTTTTTTTTTTTTTTTTTTTTTTTTTTTTTTTTTTTTT